GGAGGTGGGGTGGTGGGGGGTGGGGAGGGGTTGCATCAGAGGCCTCTGGAGGGAATCTGGTACTCCAGGGGGCGGGGGTATCCTCTTGAGACCCCAGCCAAGCCACACCCTTGAGGAGCAAATTGATTCCACATTTCTTTTTTTTTTTTTTTGGAGGTTCTTGGGGCAAGGTCAGAGCCCCTGAAGCAGGCAATAGTGTGTGAGGGAGCAACTGTGGCATAACTGATGTCTTATTGTTAGATAAGTCTGGGTTTGAATCTCAGCTCTGCCACTTAATAGTTATGCTGCCCAGAGCAAGTGATTTAACCTCACGAGCCTCAGTTTCCTCATCTGTAAGATGGGGATGCCTGCCACTAATAGAATTGTCGGGAGGATTTACTAACATATGTAAATGCATATACACACCTTTTAGGTGTCCTATGAATGGCACCAACTCTTATTTGTCCCTAGACTCTGGGCTTACCTGAGCCCTTTGTTTATAGCAACAGCGGTAACTGGAAACTCTGAGAGTTTCCCCAGACCGCTTGAAGGTGTTTCTGGCTCTGGTGAGGTTTCCTATCTTAGCCAAGGGTGAGCAGCATGCTGGGGAATGTCATCCACCAGAGGTACAGAGCTCAGGCCTTGAGACCCCATCCCAGCACCTCCCTGCCCGGTGGTGATAGTGGGCAAGTAAACAGCTTCTCTGTGCCTCAGTTTTCTCTTCTGTAAAATGGGGAATGATAGTTTTTATAGCATAGGTTTGCACTAATCAAGTAAAGCGTAAAAAAATCACACTCTCAAGTGTAAGGAGCCTAGTAAAAATTTTAAAATGAAGTGTCTATAGCAGGTGTATGGCACATAATTGGTTGGTAGGTTTGGGATGAGCAAAGGCTTCTCAGATTGGGTGCCCAGGTCTTTTAGAAATCTCCTTTTCTTTATGGTCCTGGGGAAGAGTTCCAGGCCCTGGAAGAGCAGGCTGGCTGAAGGCTGCCAAGACTTTGACCAGCCCCTGAGAAGTATATCATTGACCCAGGCACCAGCTGCCTTTGTCTACAATGGGCCTGTCCGGGTGAAGTCACAGGCCTGTGTTTGCTGTCCTATAAGGCCGGCCAGCTAAGCTGTGTGTGTGTGTGTGCGCACGTGTGTGTGTGTGTGCGCGCGCATGGGAGCACGCGCCCGCCAGGGGTTGGGGGAACATACATGGAAGGAAGATGGGTCCCAAAGACCACAGGCTGGGAACTCGGGGTTCAAGAGGTGGGCGTCTCATGGCCCATT